TAGGAAGGAATATGAGCCTTTAAGGCAAGATGCCCTTAAAGTGATAGATAATTTAAGGAGGGCGTCGGAGAATTTAAGAGACCATCTGTCCGATGAGATAAGTAACAAAAAACAGCAACTTTTCCAGAACATATAAAATTAAAGTTTATTTATTTAGTTTAAATAAAGCTAAAAAAGCCTTTCAATTAAGTGAATTTTCGTTTCTATCTATTCCTCTATTGGGAAAAAAGAATTTTGAACAACTATTACTATGGGATTGTTGTTATATTATGCTATATTAAGAGTTTTGACATAAAAATGGAAAAGATATATATCCTTGCAATCAATATTTTTTCAAAAATGCTAAAAAATTATTAAAGTGCTGAATAATTATCAAATTTGGGAGATTGCGAGAAATACACAAAATTGTCTAGCCGCCGAAAGGTGGTTTCTTTACTTAAAGGCAATGAAAATTAGTTTTCATGTTCTAGTTTGAAAATTGCAAAAGTATATCAGAACGTTGCACTCCCCTTCTGTTTAATACTAAATAGTTTAAGAAATGCTTACAAAAGAAAAGCAAGATATCTGAAAATCGGTCACAGCTGTTATTACCGGTGCGGGATTTTTATCAGCCATGAATGAATGAAAACATGAATTCATCTCTGTCGTGTCCTTTTCGAGAGTTCATGAAACTCTCACTCTAAATATCTCAATGAGGAAGACTGCCAGAAGGACACTGTTTGCTATCGTTGTTAGCGCGTTTCCAAAATTCGCTGGTCTCACTGGTCGACCACCTAGAGATTTGGAATCGTATTTCGCAGTTTAAAATAACTTTTTGGAGCGCAGCGAGTCCCAGTCCGGCTCAGGCACACAATAAACCCACAAATCCCTCTTTAAATTGTTCAATTTGTCAGGAGGCACAGGTTCTCACTCCATGTGCGAGCTTCCTTGATTATGCTGGCCAGCGAAGGCGTCGCATCCACGTGGCGGCAGCTGCCACAAATGGCGGTACTCTGATGTCCTTGGGGGTAGGAAGGGCATACCACATATTTTACAAGCCTTGTGTATCGCTACTTATAACTAATCTAGTAAGCAAACATTTCTGTATTATTAAATAATCCAATAATATAGTATTATCTAAATTTGTGTTCAAGGTCCACAATTACAAATTTGAAAAAATTATATGCTAAAATAATTCCAATTAATAAACTAATAAGTAACATTCAAGGGTACATTTTGTTTATCAAGTTTACTTCTCTTCTTTTTCAGTTTTTTAGTATTACTTGGATTATACAACGTTTCTTTTTATATGCTGATAGTCGTAACCCGATTTTGTATCTGAATAGAGGTGTTTTATAATAGAGTATCCCCTTTGCTTAGTGGATGATGAAGAAAATCTCGGATTTCTTTTGTCGCTTTCGGTTTCTGTGTTTGTATTTTGGGTCCGACAACGAAACGTATTTAGCATAAAAATTTACGATAATGAGGGGCAGAACAGCAGAGACACTACAAACATCGCCACCAAAAAACAGACAGACAGCGCATCAAATTTCGCATAGGCAAATAGACAAATAACTGAGGTTTACCCCCTGGGAGGTGGGAGTTTTAGGGCCCGGGGATCGCCAGCATTTGTGGCCAGCTTTTAACACGATGTGCTGCCACAGGTTCTCCACAGTCAAGTGTCATTGCTCGGCTAATGCGCAAAGTTAAATTAATATTTACCACGAGACAGTTGTTTCGCCTTGATTTCATCGGTGGCATTTCAAAAATTGACGAATTCCAGTGCGGTCTAACCAGCATCAAAGTCAACTGCGCTGCTTGTTGACGGAATTTCCCTAGCTGTCATTCTGGTATTCACTGGTTTTCCGTCAGATTAGCAAAGTTTTCTGCAGTCATTTATTTAAACTTTTCGTTTGACGCGGCTGGAAATATGAGATGGATGCCGAGTGGGATACAACCAATTTGATAACGCGATAATCGCATTTGGAATGCCGGCAGAACGACAATCGGCACATAAAGCTGACTTTCCCCGTAAATACGAAATGCTGGGAGTGCATCACTGACACTTGGCTGCTTTGTGCTGGAAGTACATTTCCTTTTGCGGGAATTATGCTGCATACTTCGGTGGGAGTGCTGGTGCGAAAAATGAAAATAAATGCAAAGGTATCCCGAGCACTTCAGCTTGCCATTTACATTCTGCATCGGCATTGCCATTTTATTTTGTCAGTCGCATTGAAATCCATGAATGGAATGTGTGTGTCAACTAATGCGTAGCTGCCTGAGCGCTGTAGTTGCACCCAGGGGCGCACCCAGGACTTTGTCAAGGGGGTCACCCATTTTTCTTAGATGTTTAAATCATATTTTTAAATACCATTATATACCGAAAAACACATTATGAACGTGTTCATGGCAGTTATAATATTTTGGATACATCGCAAAATAAAGTTTCAAATAAATCTTTGTAAAATTTTAATTACTATGTTTTTATTATAAAAGAAAAAAGGAAATTGTTATAAAACTAGTTTATCTAGTTCATGGATACCCTCATATGCATACACAGAGAAATATATACAAGCAGATTGTTCTTGAATTGTGAACACTGGTTCTTAAAAACCGTGTACGTACATTTTGAGTTCAATGTTCTCAATATTAGAATAAAATGGTAAGAAGAGAAATGACTGTACTTGTTGAGATAAACAATGTAACCACCAATAATATAACTTTATTCAAGCACGTTGAAAATATTTAAAACTTAAAAAATGTCGTTATATATTTTAAAGAACACTTATAACTCAGATGAGAACGAATTCAGAGTTCTTTGTATGTACATCCCCCCGGATCCATCAAAGATCAAAGTTAAAATAAAATAAGGAAATGAAAAAGTATGCAACAAAAAATGTTTGCGGAAAACACACTAGTTCAGTTACGTTGTTAAAACTTCATATAGAACATGTGTTAATTTGTACAAAGCTTTTGTGGTCGGTTTAGACGTAATACCCTCCCCCAATATTGCATGTTTAAAGATTTATTAAGAAAAATGTTAAGGGTGGAATAGACCCCCGAAAATCCCATTGCCCGCGCCCCTGACTGTGCGAAAGGAACTCAGTGCAGTTGGCTTACGCGACTGGCTCTTCCTCCGTTCTTTGCCTCTATAAATTATTCATTCCGTTTGAGATGTTTGATGTGCCTCCAAGTAGCATGATGTCCCCACACAAGCTCACTCGCACATCGCCAATCGGTTTGTTGCATTTTTTGCACTCTTTCCCTCTTTCGGTGCATCTTTCGGTTTCCCCCAGCTTTTACCCACATTTCATTGAATTCATTCATTTTTTAGCTCCTTGCCGCACACCCTGGCTTGTTATTGTTGGTGTTTGCCACAGCTTTGCATAAATAAGATAAACACAAGGATGAGCTCGGTGGGCGGCAGGATCCCAGTCGCCCGTTTCCGGGGTCTAAAATCCAGGATCTCGGGGAGAAGCATCCAGCATCGTCTCGAGTCGGTGCTGTGATTTATTTTGCACTCAATGTTTGCCAAAGTAAAATTGATTGAAGCGTTTGTTGGCGCTTCAATTGATTTTCACAACAGCCCGTACATATACGTATGCTGCAAGCACCCCTCCTGACTTTCATCCGACTTCACCCCCGGTCTGTCTTTTTTTGCACCTTATTTTTTGCCCGTGGCCAGCGAAGCGTTTCAAGTGCTCGGGTACTTGAGTCCCGGCTTGTTTACAGTGGTTAAATTAACTTTGGTCAATTTGGTTCTTGTCGAGTGCTCGGACACTCCGTTGAGATGGTTTCTGCCGGACTCCACATCCATGCGACCATATTCGTAACAATGGGTAATAGGCGCAATTCCTTGGTCTTTTTTGAGGAGCCCCTCTGAAGACCTAAGCAAAGCGTATTGGGAGGTATCCATCATAATCCAGAAGATTTGAGTTGCCCAATGGTAAACCTATAAAATCAATTGATCAAACCCATCAGCCTAATCTCACTTCAAGTATGTCTATATTGATGTTTCCCAATTTGATTAGACCTCATCTCCTTCGTAATTGTCGGCCTATGATTGTTTAATAGTCGAATAAACGGTCTGCCCTCAAAAACGTCAGTGGCAAAAATCGCAGCCATTCATCAAACGTCGTGCTGTGATTTTATTAACTGACTCTGATGGTGATTGAGGCACATCTGGGCCATCAACACCTGCAGCCGGCAGTCGATCATCAGGCGCCCAACCCCATTCCTTACCACTTACCGCTCACCACTTACCATCCGCACCCCCAATTCCCAGCAATCACCACCAACTGCAGTCGCATAAATCTTGGCCTGTCAAGTGCAAACAGAGGGGGGAAGCCATCAAAGATGGAGCTAACAAATTACTGACAGCAAAACAAAAAAGAGCGCAGAGGAAGACAGTGGCGATATAAAAAAGGAGAAATAATAATGGCAATAATAATTATGCAGAATACACCAAATATACGAGATATAAAAATAAACACGCAACGCAAATGTATGCCACTCATTTTTATGAATGGGCATTTATCATAATTAAAAATTCTACCAACACCGGCGAAGGTTCTCCATCGCATACCACCCATCTCCCATCTCCATCTCCCATTACCCATTACCCGGTTTCGGATGCCGACGTTTCTGACCTAAGACACGGCACAGAGCACGCATATAGCCAGAAGTCGGGGAGTATCGGGAGAGTGCGTCAGAGAAAGCCGACAACAACCAGGACAGCTTTTTGGGGTCTTCTCCGCCTCGCGGAACAGCTGTTGCTGTTTGTTTTTGGGACGTATCCACGCGATAAAGTAAGGCACTGGAAGAGCCCGTCCTCAGCAGTCCGTTGGTGAAAGACCCTCTGCGCATGTGCGTCGGCAGACGCACCCAAAGGACTCTCTTCGGGAAGAGAGTTCGAGTCTCTTAGATGGCCGTTTTCCGAGCAAGCTGGCTCGGCTTTTCCCGCGAGTTGGCCGAGCTTTTGGGGGTCGTCGTGACTGCTGAAGTCACCCGTCGCCACTTCGAATGCCGTTGTCGTGGGCTTCAGTTGTGCCAACCGCTCAGTGTGTACCGTTGCTGCCAGTGGGTGTGACTCAAAACAGTGACTGTGACTCCAGCCGTGACTTCCGTGCGTCGGTGTTGTGCGTCCGGTGGCGTATGCTTGATTTGTGTGGCGCCCTGGCGTATGCTTGATTTTTAATACGCCGTCTAGGCGAAGTTCTCGCAGTGCATCCTTGAGGATATCAACAGAAGTAACAACAGAAAAAACCACATCGAATTGTGCGGCTCCTTTTAAAGTTAACCCACAGATATTCTCACACACACGCTGTTGTGTGGTGCGGTGGCTTGTGTGGTAGTGAGGTTGTGCCCGTGTGTGTGTAATGCGTATGTAATCCAAGCAAATCTGTCACGTGTTTTGGATATCTTTTTCTGAGGCCGCCAACGAAGCCCGGGAATTTATTGAAAAATCGCACAAAGGTGAGCCAATCCCCAATCCCCAGTCCCCAAAGCCCGATTCCCGCAGCATATGGTTCATGAAATGAAATGGCAAAAAATGACCCTATCACGTTGAAAATTAAAATAGTTAAGCAGCTTAAGGGCCACGAGGACATAACTATGCGGATGCTCGACCGACAAAGTTAGCCCTCACGGAATATTGATAATTGAATATAAATTGGTTATTTGTGCGGAAGGGTCTGGGAATCGAAATGGGTTTTTATCCTGTATAGGCGGGCAGGCAGTAAAACTAACAAAGTTAAAATAAATTGAAGATTATTCAGGAAGTTGTTATAAAGAAACGGAATTTCGTTTTTACAAGGATGACTGGTTTGAAAACGATAGGAGTTATTGAATACAATTTTTTTGGATGGGTGAACAACGAATTTATAATTATTCAGGATAAATAAAATGTTTTTTGAGCAAGCTGTTTGCCTTGTAAATAAATAAAATTAGAAATGAAATGAAAATGTGAAAAATAAAATTAATGCAAAATAAAACGAAATAAGCAAACAAGAATATAAACACAAATTATTATAATATTTTAACAGCTGATAGGGATAAGAATCGATTGTTAAAGGATCATTAAAAGAAGGATCTCACTAACATCAAATTAGGCAATGATTTAGGGAGATTTTTACCTCCAACGAGGCTGCTCTCGACCATAAATTAAATTGCTAATGGTCACCCCGTGGCTTTGAAGCCCCTTCGTATTAGCAACATTTAACCTTTATGCCCTGCAAGTTGCCCAAATTAAACGACAGAATTTGATTAGTGCCATACACGCAAGCGGCTTTGAGCCTTCCCATCCTGCTGAGTGTATAATAAATGAGGGGCTCTCGAGGCTGGGTATCAGTCCCAGCTGGAAAAGTTCGGCAACTCCCCCCGCTCAATTGTTTATTTAACAGCAATGAAAAAACCATTACGCATTTCATATCCCAACTTCAAAAGGTGAAATTCCCATGAAAAATTATATAAATAAGTTGAAAAGTTTTTAATGCATATCAAAATAAAAAAAACATGAGCAGCTCGGCAGGAATGTGACTAAAAAACAAATGTTGATTTAAAATGCAAAATGAAATGACAGCAAAAAGAACAAAGAGACGGAGCGAAAGGACCTGCTGTCTGTACGCAATTTGTCCACGTATTATAATTTTACCCCACCTCTTTTTGGTTACTCTTCACCGTCGGTCGCCCTTGTCCTTGCCCTACTCTCGACCAAGTTAATGTCATTTGCATTCGCCCATATACCCACTTTCATGAGCCGTACATATATTTCTCAACTTTCCACTGGCCATATTTTCTGGTTTGCCGCTTGCCGGCTGCTCTCGCTTCAAGTTCATTGTGCATTAATAATTTAGTTGTCGTTTCGCCTCCGATGCGAATGCGAGTCGACACCCAGTAAAACTTGTTGGTCGCCTGCCCTTTGGCTCGCTTTCCTTTTTGCCCTCTTGTAATTTGATTTTGTTTCCCTGTTTTCAGTTGTACTCTGCTGGTCAGCAGCTTCGATGGGAATTGCGGCTGCTCTATCAGCCCGGTATCATTTGCATGGCTGCCCTTTAAACTTGATTCACTCGTCCTCGTCTGCTTACCCCGACAATAGCTTGTCTGATTAAATAAACTTGGCCATCTGTTGTTGGTTCTTTGTGAGTTGGAAAACAGGTTTAGAAAGGTGCTTGGTGTAAATATTAGGCAGTCTTCTTGAATTACATTTTATAGAAATTATTACGGAACTCATAATTGCCTAGAAACATTTTCATTAATTCAAATGATTGTATGCACATTAAACACCAATCACACAAAAACCTGGATTAAATAGTTCAAGCTCCCAGCTTAAGCAAAGTCTTTCCTAAAAGTTTAAAAGTTTCCCAAACCATTCAAATATTTTAGCCTAATATTTAGCAGTGAGCAATATTTTGTCGGGAACTGAAATGTGTACGAAATATTTCTTTATAATGTCTTTGTAAACATACAGTGATTTCTATTAACCAAAATGTCAGCTACACCATTTTTTGCTTAGTCCTGGCAATGTGCCATGCCAAAAAACCATTTATTAGTTGCCCTTAAAATTTCTCACCCGAAAATTCAACAACTTATCACCGAGATTTCATCGTCGTTAATTTCCCAGCGAGTTTTTTCCCGCGAATTGCATGGCTCGGAAATATGACAAAACTGAAATTCATTAGGGTTCCACAGACTTTTTAGCTACAACACTTCATTTGCACTCCACTTCAAGGGGCGAAAAGGGAACGAGAAGTGGCAGAGAAGCCTGGCGAAATTTGTTGCTATGAAAAATGATATTAAATCGCATTTTTCATTATTATTTTTCCGGTAAAATCGCGTTCTTCATCTTGTCAGACAGTTGTCTCAGCCAGCCCAGCGAGACCCAGTTCGGAGCCCAGCCCACAACCTCAAGGCTCGTTTGCCGACGTTCCATTTTCAGTTAAGCATTGCGTTTTGTCCTTTTCAGGGATTTGGACTGGAACTGCAAGCGGCGGGCACAAAGAAAAGTTCACCGAGGAGCGGGGAAAATTCCCGCGGAGGAAGACAGAGCAAGTTGAAAATTCAGAATAATGAGGAAACTAACGAGCCAAGACTTTCTCATTGTTTACTGGCGCAAAAATTGCGCGATTATTAATTTTCTATGCTATTTTGTAGCTCTTTTTGCCGCCCCTCTTCGCCACCTCATCCTCTTCCGCTTTTCCTGCTACTGGCACAGCAGAGTTTTCTTTATTTTCCCCCGCTTTTTTCATATTTTGTAATATTTGCCACGTTTTCTTCGCTTTTTTGGCGCGTGCACGTGATGGAAAGAGGCGAAGTGTTGGCCCAAAAGAGTTGAGTCGAGAGCCGAGCCAAGTTTTCCGCGGAGTTCATTGCTTTCGCCCACATGTTGTGTATACGCCACTTTAACTGACACATTTTCGCCTTGTTTTCCCCAACCCGCCTTTGAAGGTTTATTTTTCTTTGCCGCTCGCCATGTTTGTTATTTTATTCATCGCCTCTGCTGGGAAAGCGCTCCCGCCTTGAATGCTAATGAAAAGACTGGAATTAAAGTTGGTCTCTTAGTAAGTTGGTCGAAACAGGAGGGTTGAAGGTGGGGTAGTTTGATTAGGAGCACAGGCCTTGGAGCTGTTCCTTGAAATATGAAAAGTTTCAGTAAAGTTTCTACTTATCATTAACACTAGCTTATAAGCCTAATATATATATCGCAAGACTTTTGTATAGACTTTCAAAGAATATCTAATATCATTTTATTTTTGTCGAGGTCTAAGTTATGTTCTTTGTTTCTTTTGTATCTTTTGGACTTTATATTTATCATAATTATACTGAAAAGGCATCGTTAACATTAAAAATACACAAGCAAACTTCTCCTATTAACACGGCTGTGTTTACTTCTGCTCTTTTTAGGTAAGCAATTCCGTGGGAGAAAAGCGGCGGAAAACACACTCGGCTTTCGATGGGCCCGTCCTTCGGTGACATGTGTATAAATAAATTTTTAATTTAAAATAAACAGTGTGTATTAAATTACGACTGTCCGTAACGGAAGGGCGGCCTGATGAGCTCGACGGGCAATATCCGCTGCGAAGGACACACACAAAATATGCAAACTGGCATCAAATCCAATTAGTTAATATGAATATTTGATGAAATCACTTCCGTTTCAAATGCTGCAAAAAAGGCCGAGCACCCGCTGTCCCCGATGTGGGCCCATCATCATCGCCATGACGATGATAATGATTGGAAAGTTTTTCGTACTCTCATGTTGGGTAACAACTTTTTCCGAATTTAAAACTTTAACGCATTCCCCAGTGCAAGTCATCGAGTTGGGCGTCCGTTCGTTTGAAATTATTCGTCTTTTTGCAGCTTTTGTGTTGTCCCCACAATAACCACAATTTGCAACTTTTTGCGGCACTTTGTCAGTGCGAAAAATGTCAAAATGTTTGTGGGTCTGAAATTTATTTTAATATTTCATTTGTCACACATTTAGTGCTGGGTGGGCGGTTTGGCATATGTGGCATTGATTAATATTAATATTCAGGGGTTATAATTAGCCACGATGTAATTCTCGCTCCACGTATGCATCATATTTCGTGGTATTAACTTTCTCCCAATGAAGGCTAAAACAAAGTTGATCCCAAGGCTGTTCCCGAATTGAATTTTTAATTCTCTTCGGGGTTTCGCCTTCGGTTCCTTTGTTTCGTTATATTGTGTTTCTTTTTGTGTATATTTTTGTGCCATGTTTGCTTGTTTAACTTTTTCGAAGCGGCTCCTTGCTGGCTGTTTGTTTTGGCCACATATATGCAGCCATTTCGGCATACAATTTTAACGAGGTGCGGTTGCTGGTTCCACATATCCTGCGAGCCCGCTCGTTGCCTCTGCTTTGTTGCAAAAAATGTCACGCATTGTTTAATATTAATTTCATTTTCAGTACGCTCCGACACCGCGATAACGAATATTCATTTTCAAGCTGTTGCCCTTACTTTAATTGCGGCGCAGAACCCACTCAGAAGTCAAACAATTTTTATTTCAATATGTTTGCACTCCGGCATTATTTATTTATTTGTTTTTTTTGTTAACAAGTCAAGAGCCGGGCCATCACATTATTTGTTGGCTCATTATGAATTGCTCTGCTAACATTTTATGAGAGGCTGTAAATTATATTTAAAACCCTGTTTTAGTAAGCACATTAAAGAAGAGAAAATTTAAAATTAGGTTTCTATGAAATATTTAGATATGCCGTAAATTCTATTTGTCACATTTTTGCACTGATTATGGAAAATATGCGTCATTTAAATTTTTACATTAATTACCCATGCTCATTAGGGCTTCGGCCCACTGCAATTCTGTCAGGCATAAAAAGCTGCAGCATATTTAACTGTCGAACCAAACCGAAAATTAGTTAAGCTCATTAAATGTCAGCAAAAACTATTTTAATTAAATATATGCAACCGGAAAAGCGTTGCGAAGTGTGCCATGGTAAA